CCCTTAGCCTTCTTTAATTATCTCAGGAATGAGACAGGGGCAGAAAAGAGTCATTATGAAGTACAGTTTTACAAAGAGCAGTGTGCTGATAAACTAGTTGTTCAGAAAGAAGAGCCTCGATTTGTAATGTTTGTCAATTGCCATGGTATAAATACTCCTACCATGTCCAATTTCAAAGATGGCTGTATTTAACAACTAGAGCGCAACGTTCCTGAAAATGTAATGACCAGCCCTTACAAACTAGTGCTAGTCCATTCAAGAACACTATTGCTGGGACCAGCAGTTAGTGTAAAGGCTATGTTGCTGGACTCCCACGTAGTCGACCACGGTTCAAGTCCCAGACCCGGTGGCTTAAACTCAAGCCAGGTGCATGTGCGTGCATGCCCAATATCCTGAGAAGAGAATGGAGGAGAAGGGATTGAGGTGTGGCCATCGACCCTAGGGGGTGATTTCTCACTTTCTGTCTCTCTATCTCTGTCTTTCTGGCAAGCGCACACACCCTATAGAAAAACAAACAAACAAACAAAAAAACCTTTCCAAAATTAAAAAGAAAGAACACTATTGCTATTGCTTATAACAAAAAATATCAGTACCACCACATTTATATAAATATATGTGACACAACTTTAATTTCCTGAGAAGATATGCAAACACAATTATAACAAGTTATCCACATCTTTGGCCTTACAATTGATCAGCAGATAACCTCAGGCTTAGCCTGCTTCCTAGCAATATATTTTGCACATAATACAAATATTTTTAAATTAGTTTATATGTGACAATATTAATAACATAATGTAGCTTTTCACAAATGCATACAAATATTTTAAATGGTTTAGAATGTACTATTACATAACTTTCAACAAGAATCTACAAGCAGCTAATTTAACAAAGTCCGAAACACTTGAACTGAGTGTTATTTGTTATTTTTAGAAGTTAGCATGTTTAGGTACCAGCAGATGGTATAATGGTTACGTCAATGGACTCCTAGGTAGTCGACCATGGTTTGAGTCCCAGACCCAGTGACTTAAACTCCTGCCAGGTGTGCATGCTCAAGATCCCAAGAGGATAATGGAGGAGAAGGAACAGTGACATGGCCACACAGGTGGTGATTCTCACTTTCTGTCTCTCTGTCACTCTGTCTTCCTGGTGAGTACACACGCCCCATAGCAAAAATCTCTCTTTAAAAAAAAAAGAATTTAAGCACATTTAACTATATGGGATCTTCAAAGTGAAGAAGGGAATGTGATTGAAGGAAGTCCTGAGCAGCGCCCTAGAATTCCCTGCTCCAAATAGAGAACAGAAAAGTTTACTGGGAAAGGAAAGATCTGGCATACCTTATTATATCTAACTTGGACTACAAGAGAATAAACCCAAAAAACTGAATTTGCTACATTTTACAAACTTCCAACATGATGGTAGAAATAACAATTTTAAAGTCGAGACATATGATACACAGAAAACCCACTGACTCTATTGCTCATTCCTTCTATGAGTTGAGACAAATTATCTACGATCCATTTGTCCCCATAGTCTCATTGTTAAAATATTGTCAAAAAATATCTACCCTATTATTGCCATAGGGTATTCACATGTTATGTGAAAGCACTTTGAAAATTGTAGAAAGTCAACTAAAAATATTAAGTTATTGTATGATGTAATAGATTATTGATAATACCAAATTTGGGGTTAAAAGTATTAATTACTAATGGTTTCTCTTTGGTTACCATTGGTAATGTTTAGAAACATGCAAATAAGTTCTCTTGAAGCCCTCAGTGAAGATTCAGAATAACCCCCTCTGACCAATTGTTTGTTTGTTTTAATTGCTGGAGAGCATGTACATTCACTAGAGAGAAATAAAGAGACTAAGAGAGAATAAAAGCGAGGGAAAAAAACCCACAATGGGTACCACAATCTCTTCTCCATTTCTACATCCTGTTGGGACTTGGAGACACACACAAACATGTGCCTAGCATGTTTTTTAAACCACCGTGGCTGGATTCAAACCATGATAAGTATGTGTGATCCAGTTATCTTAACCACTTTGCCACTGGCCTGCCTGACCAATTGGTTTTATAAAGCACCCTGCATCCTGAGTATGATGAAACCAAGGGAAATTCCCAAATAAAGTGCATTCCACTTCATGCCATCTTCACCTCTGTGCCAGTAGTTTTCAGTGTTCTCTACCCTCTGACATCACCACATTTAAAGTTGAGTGTTGTCCTATTTGTGGCCAGTCTATTAATCAAACTACTTTTTATCAGAAGGATATCAAAAGATGTGAATATGACAATAATGAAGTAAAGCAATCCAAGAATATGAGAACAAGGCTAGGCTACTGCCCTGGATCCTTTTCACAAATCAGAAAAATCTCCAATGGAAATAGAATGTCATTTTTCTAAGGATCCAATTACTACACAGAGATTCTTGGAAAGGCTTCTGTCTTCTGCCACCACATTCATTTTTTCATGGATTAGTGAAGTATCTTTGTAGAGCCAACATCAAGAGTAAATCAAAGTCTTTGGCATTTCTTCTGAGTCTCTTTCTGATAAACATGAGATGAAAATTCACACACAGAGGAGTTCTATTTGTGTTTACTTGGGTATCCAGACAAACTCCAAGTATTAAAAATCTGCCCCCTTCAACCCACACACTCATATCTCTGGATGTGCTGAAGAGTGTGCGACCAAATCAAGACTCTAAGAGAGGAACTGGGGATTTGCCAATAAAATGATCCCCCAGTATGTATTATTTTTTAGAACCTGATGTTCCCAGTTGAATAACAATTCTATTATATCTCCAGTGAACAGTTCGTAAGTCCCACCTACATTTTGGATTTTAGAGTTGTTTGTTAGAGTTTGTATGATGTCATTGTTTCTACGTAGCTGCACCTCAAAAGGAGCCGGTCCTTTATAGGTTACATTGGGAGCCACTTGGCCGTAAATTAAATATAAGCCCTTCTGAAGTATCTTCAGCTTCCAGTCAGATGTTTCATTCACACAGGGAGGATCAGGAGATACAATTTGCCATTTTGAGGGTAAAGGTCCTATAAGAAATTCACAAGAGAGAAAAAAATGGAAAGCAAAGTTATTTCATTATTTCATCCTCTTCCTGATTATAGTTCATTCTTTATCACCCTATGTAGGTTTCTTTACCTGGTCTATAATAGTTCTTTCCAATGATTTTAATATTTTAGTTTAATATTTAATATCTATCCATCTATCTACTCCTTATTTCACAGGAGGTGCAAATTCTGAATGTATCTCTTGCTTAGAGAGCTCTGAGGAAATTGATTTGGAATAAATGAACTAAGTGGCTCTGTATTGTTTCTCAATTAATATTTGTGGAAAAGAAGGAAAGAAATAAAGAAGAAATGAATCACATAAATACTCTCTGTGACAACCAAAGCTAGCAGTCCATGACTTCCCCTGCCTTTTGATATAAACTCTATTGACTATGTATCTCTTTATCACTGAGACATTCCCTAATCAATCTATATAAAATAGTGCTTTCTTGTGATTCTCTCCCTTTACCCTGCTTTGGTTTTCTTCACTGAAGCTGTTACCATCTAGCCTGTTAAAATTGTTCATTTGTTTATTGTCTATCTCTTAAATATAATATCTTCTAAGGCAAGTACTTCTCTATTTTGCTCATTGCTTTATTTACAGCACCTCAGTGTTCCTGGTACCTAGAATGTGTTAAATAAATATCTATTTTGTTTTTAAAGTTTATTTATATCCTCTGGGAACCAGCAGTTAGCGTAATGGCTATGTCGCTGGACTCCCACGTAGTCAACCGCAGTTCGCGTCCCGTACCCGGTGGCTTAAAACTCATGCCGGGCACGTGTGCGTGCGTACCCAAGATCCTGAGAGGAGAATGGAGAAGGGATAGTGGCATGACCATCCACCCTGGGGGGTGATTTCTCGCTTTCTGTCTCTATGTCTCTCTTTGTCTGTCTGGCGAGCGCATGCGCCCTATAGCGAAGAAACCTCTCAAAAAAAAAAAAAAAAGTTTATTTATATCCTCCGAGAGAGATTGGTAACCCCTGAAAGACTTCATGCCACAACCCATCCCCAGTCTCAGCCAGCCCAGATTAGGGACACACACACATATTGTGTGATTAGCAGTGTCCTGGAATACAAGCCTAGGAAATTCCCCATGTGGATTCAGCTGCCTTATGGTTGCACCACTGCCTAGTCCTGTGCTCAATATTTATGACTTATATGAGACTCAGGGTAGATTCTGAAGGAAAATATACAAGTGATCACCAGAGCAAGAGACAAAATGTCCCTCTATCTCCAGTGAGGGCTGAGCCTAGTAGATTTTCTTCTTCCTTAACACTGGACAATAGGCAAATCACAAAAAGAAGGGCTATTCATCTGCCTATTTAATTCTATATAGGGGTCACTTAAAGACCACCTTAGCAGCATTTGAAGTTCTCAAATTTTACCATATGAAGAGGAATTTCAAACATACCACCAGTTTCATTCCATTGACTGGAAAAACAAAAACAAAACACGAAGACAGAGGCAAGTTACAAGAAACGTCCAGATTCTCACAAGCCAAGGGACCCAAGTGATGTAAGCTATTTAGGAACACAGGGGTTACAAGGTCGATTCTAGAAATATTCTGCTTTCAGCTGAAAATGTGCATTCAGATTGAAACCTATAAACAATTAAAAATGTATTTTGAGGATTTGTATGTATTCTAAGAAATATGCTAAGACTCAAGATAACTAAACTTAAATGTGTCCTTTAAGCAAACATCAGGTGACTATAAGAGAAAGTGACTCAAAACATGAGAAGAGAAGAAGTGAGGAGAGGAAGTGGCCATTCCCTCATTCTCATGTACATTTTGAAACAGTAACAGCACACTCCCTCGTACTCTACTGGACATTAAACATATGTAAAATGTGAGGACTTCAAAGAAAAGTTGTAGATATCTTCGAAGAAAAGTTGTGCCTATTAAAACAGAATGAAATAGGTTCCTGGATCTCAGATTTACAAGCCTGTGAGAATGATATGCATTCCTACTGAGAGATATGACCTCAAATGAGAGCTTCATCAAAGCAGGGACTTGTCTGTCTAGTTTATCTTGGAAAGCCTCACCTCTTAGATAATTGCCCAGCACATGATAAGTAATTATAAGTAGTGGAAAAAAAAAAAGAGTTAGAAAGGAATACAGGGCTTCTTGAAAGTACTAGCACTTGCCTTCTTGCGTCGAAAGCTAAGAAAAGAAAAAAGGAGGCATGCAAGATAGGATACTTACCAAACTTAGCTACACAGGGTTCCTTAGCAACCTGTTGGAGGAAAAAGAGAGGAATTGGTCAGGTTGACAACACTTAGCTACTGTCCTGATTGATTCATTCAGAGTTTCAGAGTCTGGAAGCAAACTATCTTTCCACATTAAAAAAAAAAAAAAAAAAAAAAATCCATCCATCCACCATATCTCAGGAGCTTTACTTTAGAGACAACTGGCTTCTTTTTTCCCTTTCCCTTTCCTTTTCCCTTTCCCTTTCTCTTTCATTGCCTAGCTGTCCTTTGGGCCCTTTTAGGCAAAAGTTAAGGTCTCATTCCACCCACCTAACCTGTATTCACAGGACAACTATTTGATATTAGACCTTTCTTCTCTTAAACTATAAAATTTTTCAATTAACTATGGTCTCCACACCCTGTTAACTACACAAGGTGATCCTTTGGCTTATGGGAAGAAAATTATAGAACTTCTATTTTTGTTATTTTTATTTAATACAATAAGAAGTTCTTATTGTATTACTTAAGCTTACTTACGCTCTAGAAATATTTAGAGCTCATATTGATAAATCTATCCTTATTTAATATTCAGACAATCATGGGTCATATATAGAACTGAGGTACCCTAAAAAAAGTCTTAACAGTGTCAAGCAATGTCATTGAGTAGATAAGAAGGGACAGAATAAAGGTCATGGACGACCTTGGGTAGATACAAGGACAAACTACCTACAGTGACAAGAAGGAAACCCATGGCCACAAATGTGAGTGAGTGGCAGGTAGGGCTTTGAAACTGCTTTCCTTACTGTTTCTATTTGCTCTTGAAACCCAGAGGCAAAGTAATCAGATGAGAATTAGACTGGCAAATAGTTACTGGAGAGAAGCTGAAAGTACCAAGTAGTTCATTAGAGAAGAGTGAAAGGACTGGAGAAATGTAGGTCATTTCTAGAGCAATGCTGAAGTCCCACTTGAAGTTAGCGGTCATGAATTTACAGTTAAGACCTTTCAAAAGGTCTCACAGAGCAGTTGAAGTAAATCAGTGTTGGAGATTTTCTATAGTTGAATTTTTCTCACTAGAAGATAATGAAGAGAGAGAGAGGCAACTGAATGGTTTATGCAAGAGAGGAATGATAATTATAGACCTTAGAATTAAGGAAGGAAAGGCATGGATAGAATGAGTGACAATGCTACTTTAATTTAAAACTTAAACTTTCATCATTGAACAATGAATTGAACAATGAGTGCCATGACATCAATAACATGCCAAGAAGCATTCTCCCATTTTGATCCATACTTGTTTGTGAGATTAATTTTTCGGTTATGATAGCCAAAACCATGAATCTAAGTTAGCATATAACTTCAAATTATTGCATCACAAAGAATTAAACTAAAATTAAGAATATAGAATAAATATATTTATCATTTAAATACACTTATCATTCTACTAAAACATTATCTCAGTTATTTTAGTGATGTTTATATTATATATGAGCATATTATAAAAAATATTTGTAAAGGAAAAAACTATGATAAACCTATTAGTTGGCTCATCTTTATAAATTTCTATTTTGTGTATCTTTTTGATGCACATATTTACTAGTACTTACATATAACACAATAATTAGCAGACATATGTTGGGGATTGTGTTTTGTTAATGACAAAACAAAGCAAAACATTTTATTGATAGAGAGGTACAACTCACTGAAATGAAAGTCTAGAAGCCTCTGTTCTAGGGAATAAATCACCAGATTCTCTGCAACTGTTTTTTGCTCCTGTAATTTGACCCTCATTTTGGTGTTTCTTGGAAGAGATGTTGAAATTCAATTTAGTTCAACCCATGATGGGCATATGACAGGGTCTCCCTTAACCTCAATTTCCTCATCTGTAAAGTGGGGGAAGTTATAGCACCTAGTTTATTGAAGTTGCCATTGAGTTTAAATGAGGTCATTCTCATAAAGGGCTTTGTCATGATAGCCTGTCTGGACCTGCTCAATAAATACTAGCTGTTTTGATAATGATGCTAATTATAATAAAGAACTAAACAAACATTTAAGCACCTATATCTCCAACCTTATACTGGTACGGCAAGTGAGAGTGGCAAATATAAGTTATGGTTCTTGACTCTCAAGAAGTGTATCTTTTTAGAAAGACATGATTATATATATGAAACAATTAGGTAACGATCTTAATGTAAACAAGTGCCAAAATACATGCCACAGATAATCTCTGCACAAGCTACTATACCGTGTATAAAGAGTGTGCAGAGAAACTTACAGCCATAAACAGATTAGCTGCCAGAATCAGAAATTCATGATACCGTACTACTGTACTGCTTTAATGTCTACCTAGAGCTACCAAAACCACCACTTTGATGCTCTTTAATTATTGCCCAAGATTAAAATTTGTCCCTTCTCCTCCATTCTCCTCTCAGGATCTTGGGCATGAATGTACACGTGTCCAGCATGAGTTTAAGCCACCAGGTCCAGGACTCGAACCTCAGTGGACTACATGAGTGTCCAGCGACATAGCCATTATGCTAACTGCTCGTCCCCCTGAACATCTGATTTCTTAGAGATGACTTCTGTGAGGTGATTTTCATTGAGGGATTGATCGAACACCTTGAGCTCATATCCTATCCTTTCAGTTTAAAGTCTTCTGGAAGAAGGAGGAGGATCTTTCCAGGGAAATTTCTGTTGGCCTTAAATTAGGACCCAAACTACCCACCTACCACTTTTTAAATTGGTGTCTAGATAATCTGGAGGTAGGACTTTGCATGTAAAAACTAGAGAAGAGACCAAAGTAGACTAGAACTCCAAAGTTCATGGGGTACTTGAGAAGGTGGAAGTGGTCACCTCATAATGACTCACCATTCACCAGCCACTCAGACCTCTTTCCCAAAGTTGTTTGTTTGTGGCCATTAGAGAAAGGGAAGTGAAGACAAGTGAAAAGGGTAATGTTTGACGTAATAGCACTGCATTATCGGCCAGCCCACTGACTTTTCCCATAAGAAATAATCATTCCGTGGGACCAGCAGTTAGCATAATGGCTATGTTGCTGAACTCCCATGTAGCCGACCACAGTTCAAGTCCTGGATCCAGTGGCTTAAACTCACGCCAGACACATGTGCGTGCATACCCAAGATCCCAAGAGGAGAATGGAGGAGAAGGGATTGCGGTCTGGCCATCCCCCCTGAGGGGTGATTTCTCACTTTCTGTCTTTCTGTCTCTGTCTTCCTGGCAAGCTCATGCACCCTATACCAAAAACCTCTCCGAGAAAAAAAAGAAAGAACTAAACATCCTTTTAGCATGAAATTCTAAAATGTCTTATCATTCTCGAAATTTGGAACATGCTCTCAGCTGTATCTAGAAGTAGAGCCTTTCATTGAGAAGCTGCATATTCCCAGTAAAGGTACTGCTGCTGGAATGAGAAAAATGGAATATGTTTCTTTCTTTTTCTTCCTATTGTTACATAATTGCCATGTGAACTTGTTTATGATTATTGTTGCTGAACTCCCATGTAGCCGACCACAGTTCAAGTCCTGGATCCAGTGGCTTAAACTCACGCCAGACACATGTGCGTGCATACCCAAGATCCCAAGAGGAGAATGGAGGAGAAGGGATTGCGGTCTGGCCATCCCCCCTGAGGGGTGATTTCTCACTTTCTGTCTTTCTGTCTCTGTCTTCCTGGCAAGCTCATGCACCCTATACCAAAAACCTCTCCGAGAAAAAAAAGAAAGAACTAAACATCCTTTTAGCATGAAATTCTAAAATGTCTTATCATTCTCGAAATTTGGAACATGCTCTCAGCTGTATCTAGAAGTAGAGCCTTTCATTGAGAAGCTGCATATTCTCTAGAAGAGAGAATCCAAAATCAGAACTCAGACACTTGGGATTGATTAGTCAAGTGAAATCTGGCAAGAGGTATCCTGGTTGACTCTGGTGTTATTAGACTTCCTCTGTCCCTTTGTAAGAGTCAGTGTGCCTTTGATAAAAGTGTTTCCCTCCTCTTCTATACATTCTTTTTCTACCTAGTTATATACTGATTTGGAACTGATGACACCAGTATTAATTGTTTTTCAGGATGTCTGGCTAATAAAATGCAAGGTGGTTTTTAGAAGTTTAAAAAGCACTTCCAAATTTAAGTTATTGCTATGCTCACCCTTCCTCTTCTTCAGAAACACACAGAATTTCTGGTATTTTCTTTCAGTTCAAAGTTGCAGAGGTTCATGCTTCTTTATACATTACTTAAGGAGACAGGGCTGTGATTAGAAGTTCTTCTGTTGGACATCTTTGTATATAGTATGTAACAGAAATTGCTCTGTTACACATTTTTGTATACAGCATGTAATATAAATTAATGGACTACTGTGTAAAAATTTGGTCAATACTATACTTACCTTAACTAAATTAACATCTATAGTATACTGCTTCCTTTGGTATTTTTTCTCCATTTGCTTTCAAATATCTTAAGTGATTGAAACATATCTTTGAAATCTCTGGTCAGTCTACTTTAAAAAATGTTCCTGCAGTCAAATCCCTTGCTTAGGTGGGCACTTTATCTTCCCCAAGCCCAGAGACTTGAAATATAACCATAATGGGCTATAATACTGAATTATGTAACATTTTTAATTTATATTTTATTTTATATATCTAAACATGATGTATATATTACATTTATATATGAATATATATTTTATTATATATATTATATATATATTTTATATATATATATATATACACACACACATATATATATATAT